AGGAGGAGGCCAGATGAGGGAAGGCAGATGTAGGCGCCCAGTCTGTCAGCGCCTTGGTGGGGGAGCTGGGTGGGCAAGCCTGCAGTCGCTCCCAGGAACCAGCCCTGGGCTGCGGGGAGGCGAAGTTGGTTGGTCCTGCCCTCCTGGGGCGCCCCGACATCGACGTAAAATGACTTGGCAGCAGAGCTCCTGCCGCTTCCCCCTTATGCAGCTGCCCTCGCCGACGCCAGGGACTGTAACGGCAGATGGGACAGGGCCTAGCCGTTCAGCCAACACTTTGAGCTTCCCAGCCAAACTCCTACCCCCACTCCCCGCTTCTGGTCCTCACCCCCTTCCTCTCTCCTAGCCTCGGTGTCTGGTTACGGCTCCTCTGCTCGCACTGTGACTTTGGGCCAGGCTGGGGGAAATGACCCGGGAGGGTCCCGTGTGGCTACATAAAATTGGCAGCCTTAGAACCAGTGGGAAGGCGGGTGCGCTAAATCGAGGGGCGGAGAGAGGGGGCGGAGGAGCTGTTTTCTGAATCCGAGTCCGTGGGCTCTCTCAGAAGTCCTCAGGCCGGAGCAGAGGTGGCTGGCGGGCCCGGCTGACTGCGCCCCTGCTTTATTTCCATAACCTTTTCTTTCGGACTCGAATCACGGCTGCTGCGAAGGGCCTAGTCCCGGACACTAGGTGAGCACTCTGTGCCCCAGGCCATAAGCAAGGGAGCATCAGCTCCCGCTGTTTCCACCCCCCATTAACAGCTTCTTACTTCTGGAGCCGTCCATTCTCTTTGGGCAAGGATGCTCAGGGGCCAGGGATCGGAGTCGGATGGTGCACGGAAGTGGTGCTGGTGGTGGGTGTGCGTGCGCTTGGGCCTTATCACCCCTTCCTCACCTTCCCTCCCAGCCACCCCCGAGAACAGCCCAACTGATTGCTAACTGCCATAACTGGATAATCCCTAGAGGGTCACTAGGCCTAATGTGTTGGGGGAGTCTACTTGGTAGCAGGGGAGGGGGCGATGCTAGCGTCATGCTTTGGTACAAGAAGCAGTGAGGTTGGTCTTTCGGCACAGGTCCCGTTTCTGACCTCCTGACCTGGCTTCCCTTCCTGGCAGGGTGCCACGAACGCGCTGATGCCCCAGTGCTCGCAGGGCTTCCCGCTAACCATGCCGCCGCCGCCCGCAGCTGCCTTGGCGCTGTCTGTGCTCCTGCTACTGCTGATGGTGCGGACGCCGCTCCCGACCGGCGCAAGGCCGTCGTCAGGCCCAGATTACCTGCGG